ACACAGCTTGCCCCCCATAGCTTGCACCACAGACATTCCACCGCATAAATTGCAGCACATAGCTTTCAGCACATATATTGCACCGCATATCTTACACCTGCGCGACATAGCTTACAACACACATGTTGTACCACACATCCTGCACCACATACCTTACACCACATAGCCTGCACCACACATATTGCACCACATGGATTGCACAATGTAGCTTGCACAATCCAGCTTTCACACCCACAGTGCGACAACTTGGTGTCTCGGGTCTACGCCAGTAAGCATGGACTTCTCCGAAATGAGTCAGGGACCTGGCGCAGTGACTGTCCAACAGGACACTGGCGTGTTCCCTCAACCTGCTGCCGCTGCTGGCCGCGCTGGCGCGCTCAGCTAGGATTTTTTCCGCGACTGGGTGCCCTCCGCCTCCTCCCGTCCTTCGCGGCCGCCCTGTCTGCCTAGTTCCTTCCTCTTGCACGCCGACCCAATAGCGTATCGGTTGCCCCGATCGTCCGCCCGCTGTTGCAGCACTTCTGCTTCGCCGCCGACGAAAAGAGTTCCCCCAACCTGCGCACCAGTGCTCCTCAGCACTCTGGCGCCGTCGGAAATCGGCCGTGGCAGCGTTGGGCACCCTGGGCCTCTGGGCGCCCAGGTGCTTTCCTCCGAATTCCTTAGCGCGGGGCCCCCAGAAGCCCGCCCAACCCCTTCGAGGGTTCAATCTTGGTCCGACTGGTTCGATTTGAGGTCGAGTCTTGCAGGCCCGATATCCGATTGGATCCCGATCCTCCAGCGATCGGATGCGGCCCGATGATGTGTGTGGCGGGCGGATCCAGCGCGCATTCCGATCCCATCCGATTTCCCGCTTCGATGTTGACTGATCCTGCCTTCCCTGGGGGCAGCCTTCCTGTTTCCAGGCCGCTTTCTGACGCCCCCCGGTGGCCCGATAGCTGGCCTCCCCAGTCCACGAATGGTCCATAGTGACAGTAGTGTCGATGATTCTCAGGACATGTGTTTGTCGTGTGTGTGTGTGTGTGTGTGTGTATGTGTGTGTGTTTACGCCGTTCGGCCCTTATCACATCGGCTGCGTCGTCTTGAAGGGCTTCGTTGGGCAAGCACGCGGTGGCGCTAACCCGCGTTGTGAGGATCATCGATCGTCAAATTGTAGGCCCACCAATCAGCTGGTGGTCAAACGTACCAGACGCACCCTGGAGAGGGGGCCTCATGGGCAACCTCGGGACGCCCTGAGGCGAGTGTTCGGCGTATATACCATGGCGGAAACCGTATCCTGCGGCATTTCCCGAGCCGGATCGATCCGCGACGGCCCCGAGTCGGGTGTTGCCAGAAGTATGCTTGTCCCAAGGTGTCCCCAGGATCTCTAGGGAGGCCCCCGCGGCCTCCAGAGCACCCCTCACGAGGCCCCAAAGGGTGCCAGGGCCCTCAAGGTGGAGCGAGAAACTGGGGACATCTTGGGCCGGGGACGCCTTTAGCAACCTCCCACCAGAGCCCGAGACTGGGCGGAAGCGCCCAGCGCGAGAAAAGAGTGCGACGCCAGGATCTCCCGGGTGTTTGTGTGTGTGTGTGTGTGTGTGTGTGTGTGTGTGTGTGTGTGGGGCGCATCGGATCCGTCCAGGTCGAGTCACCAGCCTCGTCGAAGGAGTATGCTAGCCAGCGCGGACCCCAAACAGTGAGTCATTGCACTGTGGGGTGAAAACTATGCGGTGTAGACTATGTGGTGCAAGCTATGCCGTGTAAGCTATATGGTATAATCTATGGAGGTGGCAGCGATGTGGTGTAAGTTATGTCGTGTAATCCATTTGATGTGTGTAACAGGTGAACCGCTATGCGGTGTAAGCTATGTAAATCAAGTGTTGATGGATAATGCATAGGGTGGAAGCTATGTGGTGCGAGCTGTGTCGTGTAAACTATGGGGTGCAAGCTATGGGGTGTAAGCTCAGCGCGCGGGGCGCCCACGAGGCGGCACGGGCGGCAACGTGGCGCAACCTCGGCCGACCCACCCAACGTATGGGGTGCCCACGAGCGCCCACGAGGTGGCAAAGGCGACGACGTTGCACAACCTCGGCTGACCCACCCAGCGCACGGGGCGCCCACGAGCGCCACAACGAGGCGGCACGGGCGGCAACGTGGCACAACCTCGGCGGACAACTCAGCGCACGGGGCACCCACGAGCGCCCACGAGGCGGCACGGGCGGCGACATGGCACAAACCCAGGGCGGCAATCTTCGGCCAGCCTGTCCAATTGCGTCAGGAACAGAAGTGCAACGCCCTAAGTGCGAGTAGTGTCTGGGGAAAGCTACATCAGCATGACTTGGTCCTCGCGTTTTTTTCGGATCAGCATTTTACCCCGTTCCTGTTGCGCGGAGCGCGCCAGGGGCGGTGCCGGAGGCATCGCCAAGGGGTGCACAGCGCCGATCCGAGAAATCCGCGCAGACCTGAGAAAGCTTCTGCTCATGCCCCCAAACCTCGATCTTCGAGCTTCGGCCACGGGAGCCGA